CATTGAAAAACAAGGAATTAATGAAATACAAAATGGGTGAACCTGGAAGACATTATGCTGAGTGAAATATCTCAAGTCACAAAAGGACATATACTGCATAGTGCCACCGTTGTAATGCAGAACTGAAATCGGAGTTGGGGGGAAACTAAGAGGTGATAAATAATGTACACTGCATTAAAACAGATGGAGAGAACTGTTTAGGAGAAATATATAATTAGATATTATTGTCATGACAAGAGTCCAGAATGAATGCTGCATAGTAGAGTGGCCTGGGGGGTAGGGATTGTATAATAATGAAAGAATTTTTTTTTTTCAAAGAGAAAAGTGAGCTGGGGGAGGGATGGGCAGGGAGAAAAATGCAACAATGAATGCCTGGAAATCCAAAGTCTCTGTACGATTTCATTAAAATAAATAAATAAGAAAATGGAAAAAAAATTGCCAAAGCATAAAAAAATTCTTCTGTGTCAGACAATTCTTTTTGGTACACTAACTCTGTGGGCTCATTCCATCTTCTTTTACTGCTTCCTAAGCCATTCTGTATTCTACTGCAACTCGAGGCTTGAATTTGTTCTTCAAGCTTAAGAATTTGATTTCTTCAGCTTAAGAAATGCTGAGTGAGCTCAGCTCTTTTGATTTTTTTACTTCAGCTCTTTGCACATTTAATTATACTACTTTGTTTTGTCTTTCTGTGCTGCCCTTGGAAATCTTCTGTTCAGCTTCTTAACAGCTTTCTTCCCTTTTCTTTGGCTTCTCGGTGCTCTAGTGCAAAGTTCAGAGTCTCTTCTGACATTCATCTTGGTCTCTTCTTCCTCATCTGTCTTTGTAATAACCTTCTGCTTTCTTCATGGATGATATTCTTGATATTCTCCCACAGTTCATCTGGTCTTTGTTCACTAGTGTTCAAGGCCTTCAGGTAGGACAGATTCAAGGTCAAATTTTGGTTCCTTTGGATTTGATTTTACCTTCTTTAGCTTTAGTTTGAACCTGCATATGAGCAGTTGATGTTCTATTCCACAATCAGCACTTGTATTAGTTTTCATAGCTGATATTGAGCTGCTCCAACTGTTCTTTCCACAAATCTGATTCCTGTGCATACCATCAGGTGAAATCCATGTGTATAGTCACCGTTCATGTTTCTCATAAAAAGTATTTTATTGCGTTGGGAAAAATCTGCTGTCAAGGACTATCCAAAGTGCTAAAGAGCAATGATGCCAGTTTAAAGACCAATGTGAGCCTGATCTCAGCCATGGTATTTTCAACTGCTTTCCATTCATCTGAAAATTGGACAATGAATAAGGACAACAGAAGAAGTAATGCTTTTGAAATGTGATGTTATCAAAGAATACTGAATAGTCCATAGATGGCCAAGGAACAACCAAGTCTGTCTTGAAATATATGTAACCAGGGTGCTCCTTGGAAGCAAGTATGGTGAAACTTCTTAAATACTTTGTGCATGTTGTCTGGAGAGGTGAGTCTCTGCAAAAATACATCTTTGGAGAGTCAGAGAAAAGGAAGAAGATTCTCAACAAGATGAACTAACACAGTGATAGCAACAGTGGATGAGCATGTTGGAGATCATAAGGATGGTACAAGGCTCAGATCTGTTGTTTAAAAGGATGAGATAAGTTGTAGTGGACTCAAGGATACCTAACAACAAGAAGTTTAAGAGTGGCAAAGTTAAATACTGATGCAAACCTCACATTTTGCTAAACTCTAAAGAAAAACATTCCAGCAATATCAGAAAAGACCTCTCTGCCACTGTTGTAGAATGGGTCTGACATCAGGGTGGGGATATGACAGAAAAAACTGGATAAATTTTGTGTATTGTATTGGAACAGATGAGGGAAAGAACAGATTAGAAGTGACATATGATTATTATGGTTAGCACAGGAATCCAGAATTAAGGTTTCATAGAGAAGTGTACTCGGGGTGGGGAGTGGGGGGAAGGGACGTGGGAACTGTATACTAATGAAGGAAATTTTTTTTTCTCTCTTCGGAGGGGGAAGCGAGCTGGTGGGGAGGGGTGGGCAGGGAGAAAATTGCGGCAATGAATGAATGGAAATCCAAAACCTCTGTAAAAAAAAAAAATAAAACAACAACAACAACAACAACAAAACACCAAAAAAAGTGAACTGAAGGGGGCAGGGAGGAAATGTGCAACAATGATTGAATGGAAATCCAAGTTCTTTTCAAACTTTCATGAAAATCTCAGCATTAAAAAAAGACTTCAAAAGTCCCACAAGGATAAATATTGTATAAAACCATAAAACCATTATTAAGTAGAGGAATGTGCATGTGCAGGGGGCGGGGGGATTAATCACTGAGTTGTACAATTTGATTGGTGGGGGTGCGGGAAATTGAAAGAATTTGTTTGAATTTATATTTGAGTTTTGTAAATAAACCAGAAGATAAAAAAAATCCAATAAAGGATCGAAATTGATTTAAAAAAAAAAAAGAAAAGACCTCTCAAGAGATCACATCTTACCGATTTGTGACGACATCATCCCAGATGTTCATAGGGTCCATTTTAGCATCAGGGTATCTGTTTGTCCAGGTTCTGAGAAGCCTCTTAAGGGGAACTTCAGATGTTAAGTTACCTAAAAATAATGTTAAATTATGACTGTACTCACCATTCAAGACAAGAACAATTGACAAAGCCAAAAGAAACTTTCTTACCCAAATGAAAAACTAAACCATCACTCCTGTGTGTTTTGTTCCACATAAGGAAAATCAAGTAACTTCTATCATCTCTTGACACTAAACTCAATGATGGATGTAAAGATGGGGAAATAAGCAAATGTAATTAATTTACTATTCTGATGAGTTTAGCGTTATAAGACCTGTACTTAAAAATGTGGATCTTACTAGCTTAGGGCAACCGGGTCATCTCTCTACATTAATTACATTTTAAATGAAAATTTTAAAAAGTCTACTAAAAAATCAGCAATATAGATAAAAAGATGACCAGATCTCCTGAAAATGAAAACAATTCTTCAAATTTAAAACAAAGTACAATTATGTAGCTAGGCATATACAAATTTTTGGTTACTGCTACGAAAAGAACATTTAATAAATTAATTATTTAGAGCAAAAATTCAAATTCAAATTCCTGACCAAGAAATCTTATATTTGCCAATGCTTACTCTTTCCCTTAGACTTTGATGGGTTCCACTGGCATCAGGATAAGATCTCTGGACACAAAGATTCTGTGCCTGGGCATTCCCATCTCCCCTCGAGCCAGGTCATTTGACTTCAGTTCTAGAACCACTGGCAGTTCTGGGGCCAGCACGGGAGGCCCTCTCCTTCTCCTCACTCACTTTCCTCCTCCCAGGCCACTTCCCAGCTTGTAGCCTTCCTGCCACTGAGCCCAGGCACTGCTCCCTGGAACCACACTGTCAAACCAGTTATCTTGCTCATACTTGGCCTTGCATCCCTGATAAAACAGTGTTTGGCCATTTGAAACATTTACTGAAATGATCTAAAGAATAAAATTTATTGGATGAACACGAACCCATTTATTCACTTTTACTGAGCAAATTATCAGATGTTAAATTTTTTTCAGAAATACATCATGATAGATTAAACATTTACCTGGTTTGCTTATAAAAGTGATAAACTCCTGAATTTCTGTTAAAACTTGTACACTCTGCAACTTGGTGAGCCTACTTCTGTATAAGAGTCCATCAATACTAGAATAGGTCTAGAAAACAAAGCATATTTATAATTTAATTTACTATTTTAATTTTTTTTAAAGTATAATTTATTGAGGTAAAAGTCACATAATATAAAATGAATCATTTTAAAGTGAACCATTTAGTGCATTCACAGTGACAGGCACTTACCTCATCTATCCTTCACTGGCACAGCATTTCCATCATTATAATGCAAAATCCCTTGTCTATTAAGGAATTTTCTCAATTCCCTGTGCTCCCAGCCCCTAGTAACCACCAACATACTTTATGTGTCCAGAGATTTACATATTCAGGAAATTTCCTGTAAATGAAGCTATACACCCCATGATATATATATGTTTACATATATAGACACACAATCTTTTAAACGTTTGAGAAAAAACTGAAGGAAAACATTTTAAAAATAAAAAAAATAAATTTAACTTTTTATTGCAATTGAGTGAAGATTTGCAGAAAGGATCTAATATTAAATATTCCATTC